GTGCGTGTGTGTGTGTGTGTTCTGGGTAAATGACTGGAGAGTGTTTTAGTCTGACATGGTGGATGATTTTATTTTCTATTCTTTTCTGAGGAGAACATTTGTGTGTGCTTGAACTTTCCCAGCTTTGGAATGTGTTTGTGTTTTTTATCTTTACGTGTGAGACTTGCTTTGGCTGCAGCTTTATCAGCGGCGGTTCCAGCTTGGTGGAGTGATCCTCGGGGGGTGCTTCGTGCCCTGCTGCTGTGGCCACTTGGACTAGCGATTCAACTGCACATGAATACACATCATGTAGAAACACAAAGTATCTCAGGGCCACTGGCCAGCGTGCAAGACACAACTGTCCACTTTACACGAATGCCAAAGGGTGTTGGTGGAAAGCATAAAAATGGACCAATCTGTGACCTCCTATCTGACTGGAACTCGGCTTGTATCGATTAAAATGCTGAAAAAGAAAAATAAGAAAAAGGACAAAAAAGGAAAAGAAAAAATGAAAGAAAAAAGAGAAAAAAAAGGAAAAGAAAGGAAATAAATACATACATAAATAAATAAATACATAAATAAATAAAGGAGATGCTTAATTTACATATTTGATGCTGTAAATATGACAACATTCTTATTGTTTCTCTGAATTGAACAAATTCTGATAAAAATTATGAAATTCATTGATAGGATTTGTGTTGTTTGGTTCATGTTGTGGATGACGGTGACAAAAGTGAGTGACTTAAACTTTCCTCACAGATAAAGTTTTCTCCTAGGTTTAAAATGTGCCGTGTAAACATTTTTCCTTCAAACTCACATTATCAATAATGGGCTGCACAGTGGATTATTTAATGCTGTATAATCCATGCACAAAATATCAGCAGGGAATAGCAATCGTTTGGCATAAACACCACTTCAGAGACTTCACTGGTTTTATGGAGTCTATATGAAACTAATGCATCTTCTTATGGTGATTAAATCCTAAAGTGTCAAATCGGAACATGATCTTTAAACATCTGTGTCATCTGTCCGTTATCATTTGCCAAGTTAGTTTTTCTGGGTCGGCCCAGTCTTCGTTGGTACTGACGTAATGTCTCACACACCCACAGACCTCTTACTTACAGAATCTGGCATCTCCTGGCAGCCTGGCCCTCTTCCCTTCAGTTACGATGTCTCTTTTGGCTGCCGACTATGCCTCCACTCTTTATCTTCATTGCTCTTTTAATTTTCCTAAGGGCTTGATTGGCTGCAAGTTTTTTGTCCTGGGTGATTCTGCTGCATCAGCTAAGTGACATCAGTCACTGGAGAATATGGGAGAAGGGGCGAAACAGGGAGGTGACTGTAGGAAGCCCCTCTATCATCAGCAGCGATGGCCCCTCCAGAGACCAAAGGGATGGGTGGGGGTGGACCAGGTGGGCGAGCTTTTACTGTAATTAATTTCACTCTGACGGGATGGAGGAAGATTAGAGAATTGTGGGCTTGTGCTAAGTGATCAAGTCAAGTGGAAATAAAAGCAAAGTTAGAACAATGTTGTTAAAAATGGGAACAATGATGCAACACGTGTCGACCAAGATTCAGGTCTTTGTAACGTACGTTGGTTTTATCGTTTCTTCACTCAAGTCTAACGAATATTGGTTAGTAGACCTTCATTGAAGGCCTTTCCATTGTTGTTGGAACATTTAGTTCTAACTCAGTTTTACAGACTAAGAATATTCCATCTCTCCATTATACCTGCTTATCCTTGTAGGTTTGCAGGGGTCTTGTGTGTATCGGTCTCTGGGCAACCAGACGGGGTACACCTTGGATAGGATGCCGTTCCATCACAGGGCAACACGGAGACACGCAGGAAGAACAACCACTTATGCACTCACTCACACCTATAGGACAATTCAGAGAGGCCGACAGTCATCATTTTGCAATGTTAGATTATTCCCAATTCTGACCTCAGGACCCCCTGCTCTGCATGTTTTCCACGTTTCTGCTTCAGCACACGTGCTTTACGTATTTGCATTGCCTCAAGTGCTGCAGATGCCTGATAGTCACTCATTCATTCAAATCAGGTGTGTGGCAGCAGGGAAGCACTGAAAGGGCAACATGGAAAACATGCAGAGCAGGGACCCTGTGGACCAGAATTGGGGAACACTGGGTTAGCTGGTGTAGGGTTAGCATACGTATGCATTTTGAGTGCTTTTAAAGCTCAATAAGCTACACTACATTTGACCAATATGATGTGAATTTCCATATAAATATGGAAATCCAGTCTGATTGATCTTTAAATGTTTAATCAGAATATTTAGAATTCTTTGTTTATTCAGGGATTGTCAGACACTTCATATCAATTCAGACAAAGTCAAGTTAGTCAACTAGGAAACACTGAATCTAAGTGGATGGAATGTGAGGTGTGATTATGTGTGAATGTGATGTTATCAGAACCTTCGTATCTGGAGAAACTGAGTTCTGAGTGGGAGTGAATTTGGTCTGCTATAAACTATAGTTGATGGTTTATAAAACCACATCAGACGCAATCTTGTGAGCCTACGTCGGAGACCCCCGTTGTAGATCCGGACTGTCAGGAAGTCGGATGGACCCCAAAGGTACTGAAGCCCGTAGGAGAAACCGCAGTACGACCAGACCGGTCTCGAGATGTCTCCAGGTCACCACAGTTGTTTGCGTCTTAGGAATAACTCTTAAGGAGTTGAAGTTGGTTCAGCTTTATTCTGAAGGAACCGTTTGCAGTCAGCTGAAGCATGCAACAGGTTTTGACAGCTTGTCAAAGATGCGATGGGAGAAGCTTCCCTCCGATGGCCAGTCAGAGTTAGGCTCAACTGAAATCACTCAGGGAGTGATGCAGTTTAAATAATGGCCATATTTTGGTTTTCTGATAAATCTGAACTTGCCCTGTAAAGGGGGTTTGCCACCAAACTCAGATACACACCTCCCTCAGATATGAAGATGCTGATTTTGTGGATAAGGAAATATCTATGTGTGCAGTGACATTAATTATAACTCGCATCATGGAGATATGGTGATTGTGTCTTGTCCAGTCAGTGTGCTGATTAAATATATGGGTCATATATTTCATTTCATCCTTATTAATCTTTCAATGTAATAATAATATTCATTTCAATTTAGTAATTTAAGCACAGATTAATCAAAACATTTCATTTAACCATATTGTCC